GACGGACATCCTCTGTTACTTGTCCATTAGTTTGTACCTGGTGTATGACTTCCGACACCCCTACGTGAGCTACCGACTTAGTTGCGTTCTTAAGGCAATGTGTCGGAATAGTTACTTCTCCGATTCGAGCTTCCGCCTTAGCTACCTGTATAACGACGTCGTATTTTAACATAAAGTCAACTCCGAGTATAACATCCCAGGTGAGTGTGTGGCATACTAAAAATTCGTGTAGGAACGAGTGTTTATTCACTGTTACCTCCAACCACACCTTAGACCGTACTTCCAGAAGGTCACCACCGGCTGTTTTTAGTGTGGAGAAACATGGTTTTTGTCGGCCTATGCGATCCAGTGTGCTTAAAAACCCTTCTCTCACAATGGATACTGAGGCTCCTGTATCCAGTAGAATAGTAGTCTGTATGCCCTGTAAACTACCAGCTATTGTTATCTGATATACTGATTCAGAATAATACGAAGACAAATGGGAAAATCTAGTCTCACCTTGTTTCCAAAAATTATTGTGCCCACATTTTCGGGCTTTCCGGCCAAAGCGTTGGCAGTAAAAACACTCCATCTACCGGTTATGTTGATTAGCTCTTAGCGGCTGTCTCCCGGGGCGTCCTTTGACCGCGGAAATCGTTTGAGTGAAATCGGACTGATGTGTTTCTTCAGGCTGTTTAATAGCATTCGCTGACAAATGCGGTGTATTGACAGCGTTTAATAGCTTGTCTGCGGCAGCGAACCGTAGAATTGTGGTTCTTAAATCCTGAATGCTTTTTGGCGGCATGTAAAGAAGGTGCTGTCGTAGTGCACCCGGCAAAAGGCCTTTTGTGAACCGTGCGCGTATTATTTCTTCCCGTATAGAGACGTCTAAACTCGGGAAGGCTACAAATGCTGCCTGCTGCAAGGAGTGCAGGTATTCCATGGGGTCCTCACTCGCTTTCTGGTGACGCGACAGGAACTGCATGGTCCCCAGCTGTGTATCTACTGTTAGCGAAAAGCATTCATCAAGCACCTTCCAGTTTTGGGCAGACGAGTTACTTGCGGTGAAACCGTTGGCAATCGCCCTTTTTGCCGCTTCATCGTCTAGACACGACAGGAGATAGTCAAAATGTTCGGCAGCTGGGACTTTACGTAGATACGTCGTGATCCTGACCTTCCAAATGGCATAGTCCGATGAGACTCCCAGTAGTGGTGGCTGGCGGATGATTGCCTCGGTCGCTGGCTTGCTTGGAAGGACCGGTGGTTCCTCACAGTTTTCATCGCGTTTTGACGTAAACACCTCCATCACCACTTGTGGCACGTTGTATTTCGACGTTTACTTGGGAGCAGGAGCGACCTGAAACAGCAACACAACAGTCAGGACCGACAAGTGCGTCTGAAGTGAGAACACGGTGTGCTGGTACAGCCGATATATTTAAAATTAAAATACGCGGTTTTTAGTACAAAAGGGGAAAGTTATTACAAAATAGTTTTACTAGTTATTCTGCAGGTTCAGACGGCGTAGAGCTTGTTCTTCTTCCAGTGCATTCACTCTTTGTTGTCCTGCAATGAGAAATACAAACACACATTATTAATATTGCATGTAATGATTTTTATTACCGTTACACTACCCTCTCTCTCAATGAGGAACTGTCCTCAGTGCCTGGTTGCGGGCATGGGTATGCTATTCCTCCTTCTGGTGGCACCTCATAATGGCTGGTAGCCGTCGGGGGATTGACAAACGGGGTATCTTAGTGCCCTGTTGTTTTATCCGGCTTCAGTTGATTGTAGTGTGCTGTTAGAACGTCGTCTTGAGGTCGCTGGAGGTTGCGTAGGACGAATGTTGTAGGGGACCGAATAAATACGATTTCGTAAGGCCCTTTCCAAGGTTGGTGAAACTTGCCGCATGTTCCTGGTGGGGCCATAGGGCGATGTAGCCACACACGATCTCCAGGTTTATATACAGGCCCGTTCGCATGTCGATCGTACACATTCTTTTGGTGTTTGCTGGCATTTTGTAGATTAGCTTTAAGTAGACGGTATGCGTCGGCTAGACGGCTACGAAGGTTACGGACGTATGGTACATAGTCTTGAGCTTCGAAAGGCAACAACGGCATTTGGATCTCTACAGGCAGGCGTAATTCATGTCCAAAGAGTAAAATCGCAGGTGAAAATCCCGTGGAACCGTGAACTGATGCGCGGTAAGCTAACAAGCATTGGGGTATTGCATCATCCCAGCATTCCGTCGACGAATTATTGATAAACGACTGTAGGAGGGTTTTAATGGTTCGGTTTGTTCTTTCTACTAAACCGTTACCTTCAGGGTGGTATGCAGTGGTATGTATTTTGCGGATACCCAATAATCGGCATACCTGAGCGACGAGTTGGCTTTCAAAAGCTGTACCTTGATCGGAATGGAGTGAGAAGGTAGCGCCATAACGGGAGACCAAATGATCAATGAAAGCTCGAGCGACTGTGAGGGCATCTTGTTGAGGTATAGGGACGGCTTCACACCATTTGCTAAAATAGTCCACCATCACCAGTATATAACGGTTTCCGTTCTTTGATGTTGTAAGTGGCCCCATGATATCGATACCGACTCGTTGATGTGGACCTTCTGTCGTCATTGGGACTAACGGTGCACGGGGTCTTTGCTGAGGTGACTTGATGTCATGGCACGTGCTACAATTTTTGCAGAATTCAGTCACGTCTTCATGGATGGATGGCCACCAAAACCTCTGGCAGATCGCATGTTCAGTTTTTCGTTTCCCCGAGTGCCCCAGTTCTCGATGCACCTGCTCCATAATATTCTGAACTTGCACACGTGGTAATATCAACAGTGGTTGTTTTGACTCGCTGACTATAAATAGTGTGTCCCCATACAATCTCAGGCTACTCCACTTGGTACATAAACGGCGCGTCGCTGGGGAATGATCCTTTAACTCTGCCGTAGAAGGTTTATCGTTTCCGTGTAGTTGTCGTAGGTAAATAAACTGCAGGTCGGGGTCTGATGCTTGAAGAGACGGCCAGTCGATCTCTGGGGCTGTGCTAAGGACAGCACTAATGGTACTAGGAGCATAGGGTATACGGGACAGAGAGTCGGCGTTTGTGTGACGGCTGCCTGGTCGGTATTCGCAAGTAAGATCAAACTCCTGTAGTCGCTCTTGCCAGCGTGCCACTTGGCCTTCTGGTTCGCGGAAGGAGCGGAGCCATTGTAATGCACGGTGGTCTGTGCGCACACGGAAAGGTTTACCTAGTAAATAATGGCGGAAATGTTGTAAGAATTTTACTAATGCTAACATCTCTCGACGCGTTGTCGAATATCTTGTTTCGCTCTTATCCAGTCGACGGCTAGCGTACGCAATTACTCTTTCTTGCCCATCTGGGGCCACTTGTGATAGAACTGCTCCAATAGCGGAGGAACTGGCATCCGTATCAAGTATAAATTCTCCCCCGCTTGCTGAGGTATCCGGAACGGCTAATATAGGTGGAGAGCTTAGTCGTGTCTTCAAAGCATCGAACGCCTGTTGACACTCTGTAGTCCATAAAAATTTTCGTCCTTTGTGCGTCAAACGGTGTAAGGGTGTTGCTAACGATGCAAAGTCACGGACAAAGCGCCTGTAGTAAGAAGCTAGGCCAAGAAAGCTACGAACGTCTTCAGGTGATTTGGGCTGTGGCCAATTAACAATGACACGTGTCTTTTCTTTATCGGTGCCTACTCCATCTGCAGTAATACGATGTCCTAAGAAAACTACTTCTTTCTGCAGCAGGCGACATTTGGACGGCTTTACTTTTAGGTTGTGTTGTTGAAGGCGATGGAGAACTGCTTTCAGATTAGCATTATGTTGCTCGGGTGTGCTACCATACACAATAATGTCATCGAGATAAATGAAACATTTATGAGGTACTATATCTTGTAAAACTGTTTGCAATAGTCTTTGGAAAGTAGCTGGGGCATTCGTTAGACCGAAATGCATTACTTGGAATTCGTATAAACCATTTGGCACTACAAATGCGGTTTTCTTTCTATCTTGTGGTCTGACTTCCACCTGTCAGTACCCTGATGCTAGGTCTAACGTTGAAAACCAACATGCGCCACTCACAGCGTCTAATATAGAATCGATTCTCGGAAGAGGAAAAGAGTCACGCTTAGTTATAGCATTAAGGCGTCGATAGTCTATGCAGAGTCGCAGAGAGGAATCTTTCTTTTTAACCAGGACGATAGGTGATGCTCAGGGGGATGATGACGGTACTATAATATTCTTGTCAAGCATATCCTTAATCATCTTATCCAGCTGTGGTTGATAGTGTACTGGCAGTCTACGAGGCGGTTGACGTAATGGCATATGATCACCTGTGGGAATAGAGTGTTGTACCGTTGTCGTCCGATTACCAGAGATATTCTCTGAGAAAACAGAACCAAATTTTTGAAGTAAGGAAATAGTTGATCGACGGACATCCTCTGTTACTTGTCCATTAGTTTGTACCTGGTGTATGACTTCCGACACCCCTACGTGAGCTACCGACTTAGTTGCGTTCTTAAGGCAATGTGTCGGAATAGTTACTTCTCCGATTCGAGCTTCCGCCTTAGCTACCTGTATAACGACGTCGTATTTTAACATAAAGTCAACTCCGAGTATAACATCCCAGGTGAGTGTGTGGCATACTAAAAATTCGTGTAGGAACGAGTGTTTATTCACTGTTACCTCCAACCACACCTTAGACCGTACTTCCAGAAGGTCACCACCGGCTGTTTTTAGTGTGGAGAAACATGGTTTTTGTCGGCCTATGCGATCCAGTGTGCTTAAAAACCCTTCTCTCACAATGGATACTGAGGCTCCTGTATCCAGTAGAATAGTAGTCTGTATGCCCTGTAAACTACCAGCTATTGTTATCTGATATACTGATTCAGAATAATACGAAGACAAATGGGAAAATCTAGTCTCACCTTGTTTCCAAAAATTATTGTGCCCACATTTTCGGGCTTTCCGGCCAAAGCGTTGGCAGTAAAAACACTCCATCTACCGGTTATGTTGATTAGCTCTTAGCGGCTGTCTCCCGGGGCGTCCTTTGACCGCGGAAATCGTTTGAGTGAAATCGGACTGATGTGTTTCTTCAGGCTGTTTAATAGCATTCGCTGACAAATGCGGTGTATTGACAGCGTTTAATAGCTTGTCTGCGGCAGCGAACCGTAGAATTGTGGTTCTTAAATCCTGAATGCTTTTTGGCGGCATGTAAAGAAGGTGCTGTCGTAGTGCACCCGGCAAAAGGCCTTTTGTGAACCGTGCGCGTATTATTTCTTCCCGTATAGAGACGTCTAAACTCGGGAAGGCTACAAATGCTGCCTGCTGCAAGGAGTGCAGGTATTCCATGGGGTCCTCACTCGCTTTCTGGTGACGCGACAGGAACTGCATGGTCCCCAGCTGTGTATCTACTGTTAGCGAAAAGCATTCATCAAGCACCTTCCAGTTTTGGGCAGACGAGTTACTTGCGGTGAAACCGTTGGCAATCGCCCTTTTTGCCGCTTCATCGTCTAGACACGACAGGAGATAGTCAAAATGTTCGGCAGCTGGGACTTTACGTAGATACGTCGTGATCCTGACCTTCCAAATGGCATAGTCCGATGAGACTCCCAGTAGTGGTGGCTGGCGGATGATTGCCTCGGTCGCTGGCTTGCTTGGAAGGACCGGTGGTTCCTCACAGTTTTCATCGCGTTTTGACGTAAACACCTCCATCACCACTTGTGGCACGTTGTATTTCGACGTTTACTTGGGAGCAGGAGCGACCTGAAACAGCAACACAACAGTCAGGACCGACAAGTGCGTCTGAAGTGAGAACACGGTGTGCTGGTACAGCCGATATATTTAAAATTAAAATACGCGGTTTTTAGTACAAAAGGGGAAAGTTATTACAAAATAGTTTTACTAGTTATTCTGCAGGTTCAGACGGCGTAGAGCTTGTTCTTCTTCCAGTGCATTCACTCTTTGTTGTCCTGCAATGAGAAATACAAACACACATTATTAATATTGCATGTAATGATTTTTATTACCGTTACAACTGTCCTTTTTAAATAGCGCGCTTTGTATTGTGATATTGAATGTTTCTAACGAAATCCATTTACATTCATATCTTATGAAATATCAACCCAGCTGAGTAATTTTCGACAGTGAAAATTGTAACTTCTTTAACAATTTGATCTTGCCTGTAAACCGGCATGCCTCATGTAATAATCTGTTATTTGAGAATAAATTATTATTATTATTACTCCTACAAGACTGGCAGGATTCTCATCCTGTACTCACCCTAGATGGTGAGCAGATTGAAGAAGTTGAGAAGTTCGTGTATCTAGGTAGCTACATAAGTGATGGTGGTGGCGTGAGTGATGAGATTGATGCACGTATAATGAAAGCCAGAGCGGCTTATGCCAATCTGGGCCATCTTTGGCGCCTTCGTGATGTTAGTCTGGCTGTAAAAGGTCGGATCTACAACGCGTCGGTGAGAGCAGTTTTGCTCTATGCTTGTGAAACCTGACCTCTCCGAGTTGAGGATGTTAGACGACTCTCTGTGTTCGATCATCGTTGTCTCCGAAGGATTGCTGACATCGAGTGGCAACACCATGTTAGTAATGCAGAAGTTCGGCATCGTGTGTTCGGGCGCAGAGACGATAATTCAATTGGTGTCACCATCTTGAAACACCGACTTCGGTGGCTTGGACATGTTTTACGAATGTCGTCCCAGAGACTTCCACGTCGTGCATTATTTGTCGACACTGGGACTGGCTGGAAAAAGCGGAGAGGAGGTCAGTGTATGACATGGTGTCGTGGCATGAAAGAAAGCTGCAAAGGGTTAGCTTCTGTTGGTCCTTCACGACTCCCTGGATGGGGTCCGAGAGATGGTGCAATACAGTGGCTAGAGACGTTATCAGATATGGCTCAGAATAGAAGCCAGTGGCGATCCTGCTGCAACCTTCTTTTACTTTCCACATAAATGGTGGTTTTAACTTTCTTAACTGAAAGAGCTCTTCTGGTTGTACATTTCAGTTCCCCATCATTATTCTTCTCTTCCTTTTTCCTTCCTTTATATATACGCATCTTCTTCTTTCTCCACCCATTCTCATTATTTTGTGTGGCACATATATATTCGGTGCCCTTGTACCAACATTTATGTGATTAAATAAATAATAAATTTTTTTGATCCCACTGCCGAACATATCTCCTTAGTTCAGAGACTGCACCCACGAAGTTTGACCCGTTATCACTGATAATTTCTACAGGCTTCCCTCTTCTCCCAATAAAACATAATAAGGCTATCACAAATGGATCAGTATTCAAACTATACGTCATTTCAACATGCAGTGCTCGTGTTTGCAAACAAGTAAATGTACACCCATACCTTTTTTCTAGTAACCTTCCTCTTTTGACGGAAATAGGTCCGAAGTAGTCTACTACTACAGCTGAGGAGCTATATCAGCCTGGTTTCACTCTACAAGCCGGCGCCATCAGTTGTTGTCCTGAGTTCATTGTAAACCGCCGGCAAGTCACACACTTTCCTATCAATCTCCTGACCGTGCTGGTTCCTTTTACTATCCAATAACATTTTCGAATAGCGGCAATTAATTGAGAGGTCTCTGAATGTCCCTCTTCCTTATGATAATATCTAATTATCATTTCTGTCACTAAGTCCCGGCTGGGTAAAATTATTAATGTTTGAAAGCATTTGGAAAATCGGAATAATTTAGACGACCTCCAACACAGAGTAACCCATCAAGCATTATTGGTGATAGGCGCTTCAGATCATTATGGCTAACCACTTTACTGTTGTTCTTAAATTCACTAATTAATTCTCTATACACCTCTTTCTGGACCATCAATAAAACCTTACGTCTGGCACTTCGGTCTTTTTAACTTTCGAGCATCCTGAATGAACAGATCCTCCACGTATCGATGAACGAAGTACCATCCAATATTCTATGAACCTTCTTAACCAAGCTGCTGCCCTGACGAATTTTAATCACTCTGAGTATTAGGAATAATAAGAAATTTGTCATAATTCACACCGATCAGTTTTTCTAAACTCAATATTGTCAGGCATAGTTTTCGGACAGTCAGTAATAGTTATACTGAAAGCACCACGCAGTAAAGTAGGACATTTAATCCATAATTCAAGGTCGGCCAATTTTTTATACCTCTCAAGGTCCAATCAGCTGGATTCTCCGATGATTTTACATTACTCTACTGCCCAAACTTTGTATACTGGTGTAAAACAGCGAGACGATTGGCTATATAACCACTATATCGGTATTCTATATCTTCGATGTAATACAACACTATCATGGAATCCGTAGGAAAATTCACTTCGCAGAAGAAATTGGGTAAGCTTCTTTGTTTAACTGAAGGCTTTCGGTCATACATCCGTACCAGATCACGGTTCAACACGGCGTGGGACACAGCTCTTACGTTTCATTAGCCAGCTTATAGAAAAGGTCCTCGATATATTGGTAACGAATCAAATATATCTTTCCTGCCTCTTCTCGTCTGACTTCTGATTTCTATCTGACTGGGAACGATCGAATATAGAAGGTGCTACTGGTAGCTAGTTGTAAAACTAGAATATCCGTTGCATGCTCAAGAGCGTAGTCTCCCCTCTCTCGGCCGTACCAAGGCATTTGGTGCGGATCAACAAAAAATGAGTAACGAGTTGTCAGCGATGCAGATTCAATGGCAATTTAACCCTCCATCATCCAGCCACAGAGGAGGAGTTTGGGAAAGAATGATAAGATCTATGCGTAGACTATTATTGTTAATCACCAGATTACAAACGTTGACTGATAAGGCTCTAGGAACATATTTGGATGAAAATGAGAGGATTTTGAACAATCAACCCTTGACCTCAGTTGTACAGGATGCTAACGATAAACTGGAACTACCACCAAATAGTTTGCTTTTTTAAGGGAATGCGACGGAATAGTCGACGAAGATAGCATCAGAGATAAGTATGACAGACGTTGGAAACAGATGAAATATCTAGCTAATGTGTTTTGGAAAACGTGGCTAAGGTGGTAAAATCCAGACTAGGTTTGGGTGAAGAATAACTGTCCGTGGATGTAAAGACACTCGTGCACCTCAATCAAAGCTACCCTAGACTTGCTGTACAGCAAGATACAATATGGTAGTTCCTTTGCATAACTAACTGGTGCATAAGATACTGCTCCATAACCTACCTCTGAGGCATCGTTACACAAATGCAATTCCACCCTTGCGTTAGGCTCGTCGAATTTATTTTTGATCACTCAAGGTACTATAACTTGACCTATCTGACGCATTAATTTCACCCAATCTAGCCAGGAGGATATGTAAGGCTCATTGATAGGCTGATCGCAGCCTATTTGGGATTTACATAATTTTTGCAGGAGAAGTTTGACCGTGAGACAGACTGGAGAGATTAGGCCCAAAGGATCAAACAAAGAAGAAACCACAGATAGAATACCTCTCCTTGTCAACAGCTTTTCCGGTGCGTCAAAGTAAAACTTGAAAACATCTCTTTCACAATCCCATTCTACACCTAGAGTTCGATGAATGGCATCACAACAACAACGTTTCTATCAAAGACGCTTCCTTGCGTACATCAGGCAAAATGGTTCTTACCTCTTCTGAGTTAGTAATCCATTTCTTTAATTTAAAACCTCCTCTACATAATAATTCACTTATTTGCTTAACGAACTTCTTTACTTCATCACAAGTGGAAAAGAATATCAAGCAATCATGAACATAGAAGTTGTTCTTAACCGCCTCTACAACATAGCTATCATAGCCATCAGAGAATATTTGGACTGTCTTGTTCAAGACAAAGTTCGCACAAAACCGCGACGAGATTGCACCAAATGAAGGAGTGGTCATTTGAAACTCGGATGGTTCCTTCGACATGTCTGCATCCTGCCACCATAGAAATCTTGAAGCTCCTCGAACTGATTCAGGGACCTTCACTTGCATGAACATTTCCTCAACATCTGCACAGATGGCAACCGTCTCCTTGCGAAAACGCAATATTATACAAACTAGTTCAGCAGTTGTGTCAGATCCTTGATAAATCATATCATTCAGGGAAACCCCAGTAAATTTACCGGCACAATCCAGCATAACTATCAGTTTTTCTGGGTTTTTTTAATTTAACACTGCTTGATGAGGTAGATATCAACGAGGGCGATAATCTGATCTTAACTGTATTTCAGGGACCTTCTCTGCATGGCCCTTAGCAAAATTACTTTCAATACTTTTTGTATATCTGGCGTGTAAGCGGCCACCCTTCAACAACTTACGCTTCAAGCCCTGTAATCTGCTGACCGCTACTTCATAGTTACCTGTCTTTATATTCGGATTCGTTTTCAATGATATTGGAACTACAAAGTGACCACTGTCGAAAAACGCAACCCTTTCCACAATCTCTATGGCCTCTTGGTCTTCTACCGATAGTGACTTATCGCTTGAATAGACATCGACGAACTCCACATCACATAGCTTACGTAATTGGTCCTCTAATGTTTGCACCTTGCTGTTATGATTAACAACTCTTTTTCTAAACTTAAGACATGATGCCGGTCCAAAGACCGTCCTTCCGAGCAATGTTTTTTTACAGCGTACGAGTGTTTCCTCCCACCCAATCGTTGGTCGAGCACCCAATGTGCTTCCGGAACATCGCAACCGATCAGCAATAGCACATACTTAGGATCCAGACTATTGAATGGCACGTCACTTAAATGCGGCCACCTCTACAAACTGCTTATTGCCGACTCCGCCAGCTTATGCCCTGTTATACGCGACACAACTAGAGCTGCTTCAATCGTAACGTGTTCGGACTGATCTAACGAATATACTTCTAAAGAAGACTTCGTGACCCTTGTTGTTCTCTTGCCACCTACTGTTCGATTCATCGCTGTCGCCTTGTCCTCGGTCAGCCTGAGCGTCTTGAAACAGTCCGACCTTATCAATGTCGTATCAGAACCATTATCCAAAAGGGCATTACCCACAATTTCAGCATTTCTCGATCGCAACCGTACCGGAATCATTCCTAAACACACATGATCGTTCACTGACTTAGTAAGTCCACAATAGTTTCTCGTAGCAGGTTTATCTTCTGATGTGCTGTCTGTCGAATCGTTATGCAACAATGTGTGATGTTTCTTCGTGCATTAGTCAACAGTGCAATGCTTCGTCACTCTACATTCATTAGCCTTATGTCCTTGTTTAAGACACATAAAACCGATACCTTTAATCTTCCCGTGTGACCACCGACCTTCCGTTGTGAGCGCTAAAAACTGTGGACATTTATAAACTGCATGGCCCTCCGAACACATACTACACTTAGCTCTGACGGTCGAAACATTCCCTAGCCTCGCTAGCGAGTGGCAACTCGTCTTCACGATAAATCCCCTTTCTGGACAATCAGCCAACCGTACAAACCTACTAGCAGCCACTCTCGCTCGAGATGCTACAAACTGTGTGAGCTCAGCAAACGTTGGTTCTCTATCATCTTCCGTCAACCTGTCAACCAGCTCAGCCCATTGCATTTACATGGGTTGAGGCAGAAGCCTCACTAATCTCTCTAATGTGACCAAGGAATCTAAATCTGCAGTATAATTCTTCTGCTCCAAAACCATAGCGCAATTCTCCATACTTATAGCTAAGTTTCTCGCGCTGTTACGTGGGCCTGACCAAACAACCGTTTCAGAATCTCTCTTTCGGTTTTCCATCAAAATAGCTTAATTCAACCCCCGGTAACTCTAGTCCAACTATAAGAACTTTAGGTATTATGCTCGGCCCTGATTCCTCAACTCTTTACCCTTTATCTAACCTAAGATTCTTTACTTCATCTACTATTAATCCACTACTAAAGTCACTATCATGATAATCGTCATTAACTGAATCTGAATTATGAGGCATAAAGACATCAGAAAGAACTTGCTTCGTACAAAGGGTTTCGTCGTATAACTTGTCTCGATCAGCACCGACCAGCTTGGGGAATGACTTTTTTGGACCACTGTTTGGAATCTCAAGAGTAGCGACCAAATTTCTGGAAACGAAAGCCAAGCACCTTCAACCAACCGGTATTTGTTTAGAAATGTAAAATCCAAACCTATAAGATTCAAACTAGGTTTGCGTGAAGAATAACTGCCCGTGGATGTAAAGACACTCGTGCACCTCAATCAAAGCCAGAACAAGGTGATTAGGGTAACAACGGTTCTAAATTTCACCATAAATACAAATGTACAAATTTACCTAAACAAATATTACCACTCAGTTATTCAATCAATAATTGTTCCCACAATTACCGATCTAAATTATAATAAATAGACAAATTGATAAGAAATATAAGAAAAGTACCGAACGCTCCGAAAAATAAGTGTTATTCTATCCTTTCTGGATAGATCAGGTAAAAATTCGTTCAAAAGATAATAGTTTGTTGCTTTATAACATAGTGTTTCCAATTCTGGGAAAGTGCTCCAATTCACTAACAAAATGCACGATCCCAGTCAAATCACGCAACATAATCAAAGAGGGAACTATCAATCAATAAGGTTGCCAACAAGATAAAATATCAATTGAAACAACATTGATACAGTTGAAGAAGAAACATGGAAGCTCAGTAAAAGCGACAGAAAAAATGAGAAAACAATAATGAAATGAAACATTACAATCTCAGATGGCATCAAAAAGATTGACAAGAAACCATTAAGAACAAGTTGCAAACTTATGCATGGAGGGATTTTCACACACTAAACCTTCAAAATGGATCTTACACCGGCCCGCAAAATCACTCTATACTTAACAAGCCACTCCGATGTCTTTTGTCATGGATCATCCATGTGTGATGATCACAAACTACTCGTTACTGTACATGAAACAGGTCCATGACAGTGTGAATTCATACTCCATTAACCAACCGTTTTACATCAACTAATCGCTTACACGAAATTAATAATCAAATTGTTGTCACATTTATTTTTTATATTTTCGTTTGGTTGTATTACATAAATTTTATCGGCTTTCGGAAATTCAACTATGTCTGTTCACGCTTAGCTCTGTCAATCTTGATCTCAGATTAGTGCTCACGAACAATGAGTGGTTGGGAAATTCCCGAAACTCGCACACAAATAGGCAGTGCACACGCACTACCAACCTCAAACTATTGAATGGAAACCATCCACATGTTCTTGTTTTGTCTAATGTAATAATTGTCGTGTTTTCCTTGCTGGACAATTTTCACCATTTATCGACTTCACTACACAGTCACTGAGACATTATTATAGATATCGCAAATTTACTCATGAATACGTTTTCGGAATTGTTACGTTATCTGTGAGCATGATAATCAATCGAGATATTGCTAGTGTAACACGAACTACACATGAATCACTCATTAACACAACCTTCCTAAAATTACACCCATCGAGATAATTCACCGAGCTAATGATCCAAAACAACACTCGATAGAAATAAATCAAGCAATTCACAACCAAATCTACACAACAAATATCATACCATAGCACTAATCCTCGCACATATCCGTTGAGGCATTTAACACAAAACAACGAAGTCACATGTGAACACAATCAATTCAACAAACTGTAAACAGTCAGATAACCGTAATTCATTGTTCAATCGGGTTGAACAATGAAGACACTGTGATAGACGAAATCGAGTTGATTAAATAATGTGAAGTGTGCCAACTGGCCACACAACACACGAGTTCAGATCAACTCAATTGAACAACCAAATCTTAAGTGTGAACACGTGTGTGTACGTGGAATGACCGACGTCCATTATAAATACAACAATGCAATATATGCAGTCAACAAACGAACAAGTCAACGAGCAATCGACACTCACTTCAACAGTGAACAACCACAATGCGATTCCTCACTGTATGTTACAATTCTGTTGTGTGATATTTTCTGTCTGATCGGCCTTCTCATTTCAGCTCATCATAGTTGTACTGGTCGTATCGTTTGAATGTCAGAATCCAGGTGAGTCTTATCCTAATCGATAGTGGTAAATTCCGCTCAATCATGAAATATAATTTGCAAATATATACTGCTAAACGTAAACGTTTCTCCGCTTTTCACTTGAAGTTTGACTGTTTTTATATTTTATTTTCTGTTGTCGTTTCATTCGACACTTTGTTTTTTTTTGTTTATGCTCTAGATTCAGTTTTTATGCACTTTTACGTTACTGATAATCATCATGTTTTTATTTTGGTTTATTCACTTTTCAGTTATTGCTGGCCCTTCCAATGACATTGATGATCTAGTTGCCAATAGCATCGATAATATAAAGAAAATCGTCTCACTAATACCGGGAATTGATTCGAGTGTTACAGAAGCAAACGCCAGTATCTCAACGACAGTTTGAAAGACGTCCGACCCAAACTTGTTCAAATCTGTAGACACTACCTAACGTGTGATTTACATTTTGTTCTTTATATACACTTGATTTGTTCCATAGCTAGCCTTTCTTTTTTTCGGTTGAAAATATCAGACGTCTATGCCAAGAACTATATATACGACCAAGCATGTGTTAACTCGTTTGAAGACGGATACAAAAAGTTAATTATTTGGAACTCCTGCATTTTTCATCTTAAATTCATTTGAACGTAGGTGAAAATACGTACATTTACCTTTCCTTCTACCCTGCAATCGGTTGTGCTTTTAAGGTTACATGTAAATTGGCAAATGGAAAGACTGTTTTGAGGAAAATGTATTTGATTAGACATTCGAAACTACATACTCATATTAAACATTTATTCGTTTTCACAATAATATTTTTACTAATGAAACGGCGCAATAAAACAACATGTTTTCGGTAATGATCTACTTTATCTGAAACGTGATCCAAGATCATCTGAATAAACATAACGCCTTCAAACTTACTGACTGAAGTGTTTATCATATCTGGAATTGTAGCTGAAGAACAACTTAGGCCAAATAAAAGATATTTGTCGTTAAAGAGTCAAATCGAAATGTTAATTGTCGTCAAAGCTGACGAAGACTAATTTCAAGGGATTTCAAGATGAATGTATTTTAAGTCAACTTTCGAGAACACTGTAGAACCATAAATTCGATTTAGAATATACCCAGCCTCTAACATCGTGCATGTTTGGTCCAACAGTTAGGAGTTCAGTGTTAATTAATAGTCACCACATATTCTAGAGGTCTTGCCATCCAACTTCAATGGCGAAACAATAGTAGCACTCCATGCTGAAGACTGTATCGGTTCAGTTGTATCTGTCGTTCAATGTCTTAAGTATTGTTTCTCGAAGTTATTACGGAATTATTCGTCTTTTGAGCAAGACTGGATCACCCTGTAGTTGACGGTTTATAGGCTGAATTTTCATGCCTCCACTGCACATAGCACACGCAATGATTAAACCTTTGAGTAAAGCATCAGCATAAAGACAACTCCACATCAGGCCCATTCAAATGTTTTAAACTCAGTATTGACAATCCTAAATAAACGTTTAAAAAGCATGTTTGGAGAACTATCCTCTCTTATTACCAATTCACAACACCCTCGTATGGACAGTGTATGTTCAGTAATCTCTAATATTGAGACTTCAGCGGATCGTACCACAACGTTACTATCTAAATATCTCCAGTTCTTCAATGAAACAATGGACTCCATACTGCCCGTGTTTACAATAAAGTCATAAAATGAACCAATGGATGTACATATTTGTTTTGGAATATAAACATTATCTTTCAAAGCGTGGACAAAAGTGAATGATTATAAGTAACACTCGGATTGATGGGATCTAGGTAACAAGGTTCAGTACTACTTGAAGCAGAATGAACAATAGCTTTCCGTAATGACTAAATTTGTGATATCTCACTACATTTAAAACATTCAGCATTATGAAAAACACATGGATAACGAGAATAAAATTCGCCACAAGATAAAAATTTACCAAACTTGCACTCACCTTTGTGGTTTGCTTTGCAATTCCTTGTTGAATCATCTTTCATACTTTTACGAGTAAACGAATCAGTATTAAAAGACCATGAGTTTGATCGACCGCAAGAGTGTATTTCATTATGACGACCAACAAAAGTTTTGGAAACTTTAACAGACTGCAAGTCAAGTTCATTCATTGCTTCAAAGGTGATTCAGTACAGGCTCAATCGCGACGCCATTGTAAGTATAAGAAGTGTTTAATTAATATATGAACCAGGAATTCCTGAAATAGTGCAATTCTCGGCAAAAAGAACTTGGTGAGCACAAATGAATGTGTTGGATTTAGAAGTCGAAATCCGGTAAATGTCAATTGCAACTGCATCATTTGTTCATACAAAAGCAACAGAAATTCTGTCTTAAAATGTTCACAGTGAAAAGAATTTTCAAGGATCACTGCAACTAATTCCAACTAATCTGATCTCGTTTCGCAGAGAAAATAAACTCCACATTATTTGTCGGAGTTTTTCAATGGAAAATTCAAGTTCAATTAGTAGACGAGTATATTGTTGGCATCTAACGCCGACTAATTACTGAGATCTTTAGAAGCAAGAACAACAATTTCAACATCTCGTCCGATCAACATTCATAAGGGAGATTTCTAGAAAACCCACGAATCTTGGGCCAAACTCCGATTGCGCGATTACTGACTCGGTCACTTGATTTTTCATGTTCACCGAGGAAGCAAAGAGTTTAGCGGTCATCAGGAAGCCTAGTGTTAAGTCGGCTTACAGTAAACTCTATCATAGCCTCCAGAGAGGCTCATAAAGAGCCCAACCAATCAGCGATTAGTTAGAAGCTATGCTACTAAAATAACGAGGTCCTGATTGGTTGTTTAACATACTGCTACTATGGAAACTCAAGGTCTTTTAATTACTATAAAACCCCTGTTTTTCTGTACATAAACGAAAATTGTAGTAAAGTGCTTCTCTGATACTCGTGTCTTCTCTCTGGTCTTCAAGTTGCTGTATAGTTCTAGCTCGGGGATCCGAAACTAGCTTAGGGAAGCAAACATAACGTTCACAACCGGCCAGACGTAACAGTGGCGATGAGGATTTTGGTACGCAAAAGAAATAAGTATACAGTTGTCGTCGGGGATCCTGGTAAAAAAGAAATACAGCAATCGAGACGTGATTTTGCAATTAAACAAGCTGTATTAATTGCCGGTGAATTTTTAAAGTTATTATTATTATCAGTAGAAAAAATGACGATTTCTCTAGAACAGGCGCTGATAATATTAGAGCACCGGCAACAGCAGATGCTAGCCTTCCAGCAGCAACTATTTGAAACACTTTTGGACAAATGTTTCACTAAACAAAATGTTTCAGGAAATATAGAAATTATTCGTAATGCAGATAATGGTGTAAATATGGCCATCCCAGAAGAACGCCCAGTTGAGGGTTCATTTCCCTTCACATCTGATGGAAAAGGCAAAATGGGTAAGTTGGCCGGTTCAGAGCAAGACAATATCTTGCTAAATGCACATGAAACTGTGACAGTGTCAGATATCAAAGAAAAACAAGGTTCCGTAGACAAAGCCCTGAGCCCAGAGTCAAATGAAGCACCACTCAATCCGCCGATTTCTGAAAACAAACTTCAGTCACAATTAAACTACGGTTTACATGATATCAACCAAGAAAGCTGGAATGGTGCACATAACTTTGATGAAAATTCCTATGAAGATGAGGAAACTAAGTCGGTTGAATCAAATGATGATCAAAAACCTAAGGCAATTTCATTAGATGATGATTCCCCCAGCTATCAAATATCCTCCAGTGAAAATCATAATGAATTTGATGGATATGTTCCAGAAAAGCCAAATTCCGATGACCTAAAATCAAATATCGTTCAGCATCGTCTATTCATTTCTAGTGGATTCTGCATTCAATACGAGAAATGTGTTCTAAATAAAGTCATATTAATTGTAAATTGGAGATATGAAGATCCAACATTATTTCGTGGGGGAGGAAAATGTTGGAGAATTTTCAAATTACAGATTATTAAAAAAAAATCAGAATCTAATCTTCGTATATTCAAAGAAGGGGAGGTGTTAAGTCAGCTCACAGTAAACTCTATCAGATCCTCATGAGAGGCTCATAAAGAGCCCAACCAATCAGCGATTAGTTAGAAGCTATGCTACTAAAATAACGAGGTCCTGATTGGTTGTTTAACATACTGCTACTATGGAAACTCAAGGTCTTTTAATTACTATAAAACCCCTGTTTTTCTGTCCATAAACGAAAATTGTAGTAAAGTGCTTCTCTGATACTCGTGTCTTCTCTCTGGTCTTCAAGTTGCTGTATAGTTCTAGCTCGGGGATCCGAAACTAGCTTAGGGAAGCAAACATAACGTTCACAACCGGCCAGACGTAAAACCTAGAAACAAGCTTTTTTTCTGTAAATAAAAAACATTGCAATAAACTTTTCATTTACATGATGCGCCATTAATCTCATGTTACAGTTCAATTGTAGAAGTCATCTGTGTTTATGATAAGCGGCTTGAAGGTCGGTAACAAGCGCTTTAACAGAGAACGTTTTCAAATGCAATTGACAGAGAAAGAGTGCTTCAGAAATTTGAGTAGCATCATGTCCGCTAACGAAAGTGTTGTCAGTAAAGTAACTAAGTGTTTGATATGGTTTGGGTCATTTGTTACATGATATTACAAAAGACATTCATGAACTACGCTTTGTAATAAATGAAGACAATTTTTCAGAAATAGTTTATGTGAAGGAGCAGCTTCCTGCCGAATGTTTGCGTTAAATGTCAGTGAACAGCGCACGACACAAGGAGACCACAAAACCTCGAAATAAGTAGCGCTCTGAAGTCAATGATAGGAGAATTATCAGAATCTATAGATATATTGTGCGGTACGTTTGAAATTTGCGTTACGCTGACACGGTATTTATTATAAAGTGCTTATATATCGTTAAACCCTAGTTTATAAATCAATAATACCATTCAATTAACCCTTGAAGAAAAAATGGTTCGACTGACACAAAAACGTGCTCGAAAAAGTTCTATTTCTTCAGATATTAATAACTCTGGTCTTACCTACAGCCCATGCTCTGCTACTCCTGTTGCACCAGATAATAGTGGTGGTGGACTTATTCCACACATGTTGCTGGATGACTCTATGTCTAACTTAATAATGAGTTCTAACTCACGAACAGATGGTATCGATCTTATTAAGAGCGAATTAGCCGCTGTCTTTAAGCAATTAAGTGATATGCGTTCTAAAGTGGAGTCACCTGCGGGCTCTTTATTAAAGCATGATTATCTTAAACTAGAACTAAAGACACTGTCACCCCTTCGACTGCTGTTGTCAAAGGATATAGTTCCTTCTGAACTCGAAGACAGGATCAAAGTAGAATCAGTTATTGACTCGATAGCTAGCGAAGTCACCA